TGTTTTAAACGGAGATTTTGGTCTCAGAAAGCCACGGTAAGAATCCAATTATGTTGTTTGTTGCAAACGATTGTCGCTAGCTTTATATTACCGTTTAATAGACATCTTATCTGGATATTTTATGATGCTGCGTCATCTATACGAGATCACGATATATTGATGGTCATTACGTAACTTATCGCAAAGGTACGCTATCCAAATCTAAAGGATCGACCGCCGAACTCTTGACCTAGTTCCGGGGGTTCGTCGACCGCGTGACGTCACGGCCTTCACCCCCTCCACGCCGCCGTCACCCCGGGGGCGCTACACCCCCCGTCGAGGTCACATCGTGACCGTACGCTGTCGGTGGCGGACGTGCGTGTAGCTCGGATTGTGAAACACATTTGCTAGGTTGACAGCATGACCATTATAGGTTCGTATTTAGGTTAGTTTTAATTATAATGTTTAGTTTTAGTCGTAATCTATTTTCAGTTAATTTGCTATTTTTCGCACTCAAAAGTCATGTCTTATGTTATTCTTCTTCTTCTTTTTGAGGTCCCTCTCCGACTAGCGAAGGTTGGCGATCAGTTCTCCATATTTTCCTTATGTTATTAAATGTAAAATTAGTTGTGGTATTTTTGTGCATTTATAAAGTGTGATATTCAATACCGAACAATTAAGATTAAAGTATTAAAATTGACCATAACGTTGACAAATACATGTATGTTATGTTACATAATAAATAGTATTATATATAAGTAATATTTGATTCGAAACTGTATCATACTTTTAGAATCAATGCGATGAAAATATCTATCTTCACTACATGTAACATTTTACATAAGTAGTACATAACTTCATAATATAAATAAGACCACAGTATTAAATCAGTAAAAGCGTAGGTAAGCTATAGTAGAATGGCATTAAAAGTTAGTCCCTACAGAGTTAGTTATATGCTCGTTCTATCAATTACTCGATTACCCAGTTTACTGAGTACCGAAGTTCAATTGAATTGTGTGTCAATAAGTTAGTGTTTCAAATTTAATTCTATACGTGAATTAATTGATTAGTTAAACGAAGTATTACTTTTATTTTTGTAGCGAGGATTTTTTTCATGTCGCAAAATCACTGTTGGTTTCTGATGTTTTAAACGGGCATTTTGGTCTCAGAAATCCACCGTTAATGGAACTGCAATTGTCTATTGAATGTTAAGTAAAATTTGAATAAGGAAATAAGCACATATTATTAAGTATTTTTTATCATAATTTTCGTGTGACAGAATAGAGGTTCGTGTGACACATTATTGAGGGAGGTATGAACGTGTTAAATGCGCCCTTGAACCCTTCATGCTTGTCAAAACTGTGGACGCCACATATATGTTGTGTACCTCTATCACATTACGGTTGTTTTAATATTATGGTGTATTATAATGATATTTTATTCAATTAAATTACTTCTCTTAAGTAAACTACTACTACGTAACTACTTCTGAGTTTCGTTTGATGAGTGTGGTACCGGAGGCTTAATATTAGTCCTTTCCCTTCCCACCCTATTCTTATAAGGGGAAGTATATTGAACGGTAGACGGTATGTATAGTAAGAAGAAATGTTATCTTTCTTTGCGTTATTTCCTCTGTCTCTTAGAGGTAAGCAACTTATCTACAATTGCGGATGCCTATGGGCAAGCGGTCGCTTTGCTATTTTGAAGATTTGAAGTGGCCGCTCGCTCGTTTGCCACCTCATGATAATAAACTAAGCCAAAGTTCTGTATCCGGTCGTTTAATTTTTTTATCAGTAAATATGGCCGAAGATACGAGGTATCAGGATGTCGCAACTCTCTTATTGTGAGAAAATATATTACTATGTATCTAAGTGCGAATATTTCATTGAAAATAATATCATCGTTTTATTTTTACTCCGACTCTGTTCGCTCGGTATTAAAAAAACAACTTAATTAGTAGTCTATGTGTTCTTCCTGACTATGTTCTACATCAATGCCAAATTTCAGCGAGATCCATACAGCCGGTCTTGAAATACCTTCAAACAAACATCCATCCATCCAAACATTTGTATTTATAATATTAGTAAGATAGGTTGTAATGATAAATACACGCTGTGATATATCAATACAAGTTTTTTTGTGACTGAAATGCCACTGTTTGCCTTGAGGAGGCATTTACAGCTTCACCGGGCCGATCGCAGATGGCACTTAGCCTAAACCTCGTTTAAAAGTAACTAAGCTCGAGGGCTCCCTCAGGAACCTCGGCTCGGGCCGTTACTTCGTTATTATTACAGGATTGGGACAATACAAGTGTTAAACGCAGTTTCCTACAATTATTTGCTTCCACCAGTTTGTTAAAAGCGGCGTTTGCGCGTGACATATTATGTTTCTAACGTTTTAACACTAAAACATATGACTGTTAATTGACAGCTAAAAAACGTAATATATTTCCAAGAAAATTCATGATGTAATAAATATTTTAATATTTGTATTTCTTACGAAAACATTATTTTTTTTTATTTCACAAAGCAATGTTTGTAACAATAAACATCTGACCGAGTTATTTGTTCTTATTGAACAATTAATCTTACTTCTTACTAATATTTTAAATGCGAATGTTTGGATGGATGTTTGTATGACGTTATCTTGGCATACATATAGAACAGTCTGGAAGAAGACATAGGCTACTAATTAAGTTTTTTATAGTTCCGCGCGGATAGAGTCGCGGGCGATAGCTAGTTATTAATATTTGTATTTCTTATGAAAACATTTTTTTTTTATTTTATAAAGAAATGATTGTAGCGATATAACTTTTACCGAGATTTATGTTTTTATTGAGGATTTAAACTCCGTATCCAGTTATCAGGAAATGCAACATCAATGAGATTTTACTCTCCTGCTCACTCTTATAAGAGAAAGAGGGACAGAGCATTGCTCCGGTGACGTCATAGAACACCGACCCCAGGTGTGACCTAGAGTAAATGAATTATTGCTAACATACGTAAATACACTTTATGTCCTTGTAATCTTACAATACGTAAGCTTATTATTCATATTGAGGAATATATTTATCGATCATCATATAAAGAGTTGAAATTAAATAATCATTTACATATTTAGTTCAATGATTTAATAAAAAAATCATGTAATATTATTAAATTTAAACTTGCTCTTGGTGTATCTATATAAAGTGTGTTATGCCATTTTGTCTGTGTATAATACTAAGTTAACTAAGCATAAGTTATGAGTATGACACAAATCTATATATATAAAAGAAAGTGGTGTTAGTTACACAATTTATAACTCAAGAACAGCTTTACCGATATGGCTGAAAATTAGTGAGGAGATAGCTTAGAGTCAGATGACGGACATAGGATACTATTTTTTTTTCTTTTTCGAATTTATACCTTGAAGTGCTGCTTTTTATTCAATTTACTAATCTTTATATATATAGTTCTTCTGTGAGTGTGTATGTCACTGAACTTCTCTCAAACGACTGGACCGATTTTGATGACATTTTTTGTGTGTGTTCAAGGGGATCTGGGAATGGTTTAGATTCACAATGTTCATCAAATATTAACTTCATATTAATTTATTCAAATTAAAGACGTGTAGACAGGACAACGTCTGTCGGGTCCGCTAGTATTATAATATAAATGCGAATGTTTAGATGGATGTGATGTGGATAGATGGGTGGGTGGGCTACACTAATTTAGTTTTTTATATATCTACGCGGTCGGAGTCGCGGGCGACAGCTAGTCCATGATAGAATTACAGAAATAAGTAATATGTAAATTGTTAGTTTTGCGTAAAGTACACTTTGTATGTAATGTGTTTTAATTAATCTAAAAGTTGTATGTCCTAGAATGTTCGTATTAACCTAATCACAATTACTTTATCGAATAGCCGAGCCATTTCCATTACTTAAGTTACGAAAATAACTTTATTTATAGACACGATATTCTAAGTTAAATTTCTAAATAAGTGGAATTTAATTTTTTGTAAGAGCGTGGATGGCTCAGTGGTTTCAGCATTTGACTTGTAATCTGCAAGTCCTTTGTTCTAATCCCGCCATGTACCAATCTGTTTTTTGATTTTCGATTTATATATGTACATTTATCTGAAGTTCTTACGGTGAAGGAAAACATCGTGATGCAACCTGCACATATCTGAGAAGATATTCAAAGATATGTGTGAAGTCAACCAACCCGCACTTGGCCAGCATGGTTGACTATGGCCTAGTCACCCCTAACTTAGGGTAGGCTCCGAGCCCCTCAGTGGGGACGTATAGTGAGCCGATGATACGATACAACGAAGAACATGATATTACATGTGTTGCTATCAACGTAAATAAACGTTATAAAATTAAACTATATAAGTTAATTAAATTGGCAATAATCTGTTTTTTTAGGGTTCCGTACCTCGAAAGGAAATATATACGGAACCTTTATAGGATCACTTGGTTGTCCGTCCGTCTGTCTGTCAAGACTCTTTGTTAGTAATGGTGCATATTACTTTAATTCTACTTATTCACATACTTTTTTTCGGTCGGATATAAAAAAAGCTTTTAAAAGTTATCGGCAAATCTATTGTGTAAAAAGTAGAGATTGCAGTTTTATACGTAATGTAAAAAAGTGAAGTAGATCATCGGAAGTGAGGTGGCATTAAGCCAATAGAGTCTTATCAAAAACAAAAGCCACTCGACCGACAAACCGCTTTTGTTAAATATTAAGTTGACCAGAGACAAAAGACGTTGTGCAGTTGTTCAAGGAAACCTCTCGAATATTGGAGTACAGTCAGAAGAGAAGCGTTCAAGCCAAGGGTTTGATAAAGTGGGATATTGTATTTTGATTTTACACATTTTGTTATCTTGTTAAATATTTTGTTATTTATCTATTGTCTCTTGAATTGCACGAAGTCTATGTTAACAAGTTTTGTTGTCTAAACGTATAATCCATGTCTGGAGTTCTTTTTTTTTAATATTAAATAGTATTTTAATAATATAATTTGTGTACTTTCAGATCAGGGTGCGATGCGCGCGCCGAGCGGCGTGGTGCGGTGGTCGCAGAGCGGCGGGGCGCCCCTGACTGACTACGCGGCGGTGTCGCCGGCGCCAGCCGCATCCCCGCCCCCTCTCCAATACATCTACGATGAACGCATCAACCAGCGTCTCGCCTTCTGGTAATAGACACTACCAACTTTACCAAACAATGGCTAATATTTAATTCTTGCTTGTGTAGACTATGTCATTCAACGTTCTCGTCTGTACGTTCCAGGCAAGGTGATATCACAGCTCTAGACGTGGACGCGGTAACGAACACGACAGATGAGACGCTATCGGAATGCAACGCGGTCAGCGAGCGGATAATGCACGCCGCGGGACCAGAACTCAAGGAGGAGATCATCACCAGAGGACTCGGTGAGACATACATACTGTAAAAACATATTTCGTAAACGTATATTACGTTCTGCGTATCTGCGTTGTTGATAACGAAATACGATTTTTTTTAATTTTTGGTCTGTAAGTGTGTCCGCATTTGTTCCGGGTAATCTCCGGAACAGCTGGACCGATTTCACAGGAAGGTGGCTGATGCATGCGGGCTTATTATAGGCTATTTTTTTTAATTCCATGCTGAGAAAGTCGCGGCTGACTGCTAGTATGTTTATAAGATTTAATGTCCCACAGTTGATTTAGAATATTGTACCTTACTAGACTATAATTACGGTTGATTTTGGTATGTATTGCAGAGTGCGGGACGGGCGAGGTGGTGGTGACGCCAGGCTACCAGCTGCGCAGTCGGCACGTGCTGCACACCGTGTGCCCCAACTACCTGCCGCAGTACCACACCGCCGCTGAGACTTCGCTGCACAACTGCTACAAGTAAACTGTCAAGAACTTTTATTTCCTACTTATTTCAGTGAACTTTGACGTCCAAAATGCAATTACGTTGAAAACTTATTATACCGACGTATAAGTACATCATACATTTTATATAATAAAAAAGATGGCAAACGAGCAAGCGGCCTGAATTCACCGAAATAGCCAATCGCACGCTGCCCATAGACATCTGCAATTTCGTTGACTTCCTTTATTCGACAGAGGAGGGGGCGCACAAAAAGATCTACCATTGTAAACATTCTAGATTTTATAGTAAATGTTTGATGTAAATGGGTCAAGAAATAAAAGACGTAGAATAGAAAGTGTTTATTGTGTGCAGGAACGTGTTGTCGGCGGCGTGTGAGGTGGGCGCGCGCTCGCTGGCGCTGTGCGTGGTGAGCACGCCGCGCAGGAACTTCCCCCCCGACCTCGCCGCACACGTCGCACTCAGTCAGTACTCCCAGTAGTCCCACCGCCTCACACACACACAAATATACCGCTAGATGGCGTTGTACTTAATTTGTATAATCAGTTGCATAAATATTAACACAGCTTCTGAAAATCGTATATGCTTTTTGTTTTAAAAATGTGTGTTCTCTAATTGGCCCTTACGCTTCCCGTCTATGAGTAGTTCTTGATGATGCATTTTTGAAATCAATGGCCTTTCAAACGTTTAGTAAATGTATTGTATATGTATGCAGCTGACTGTACAGGGCAGTTAGTTTGCGACACACCAGTGTCCTGTGTGGTGAAGCGAGTCGTGTACATGCAGGCACAATCCGGCGCTACCTGGAGACGTCAGCAGTGCCGGGCGTGGTGGTGGTGTGCGCGTGCGGCGTGGAGCTGTCCCCGCTGCGCGCGCTCGCCCCGCTGTACTTCCCGCGCAGTGCGCGCGAGGCGCTCGCCGCCGCCGCACGTCTGCCCCCGCCCCGCGCCGACCTGCACGACCGCCGCATCCGCATCATACACAACCCGCACTCCAACTCCGACAGCGGTCAGTGCGCTAACTCACACTACAACACAACCTATATGTGTATAAATATCACCAACATTCATACAGCCTTTCTCGAGATATTTTCCAACCAAACATCCATACATCCATCCAAACATTCGCATTTATTGTTACATTATGTTGTTACCATTTCCCGCGCGATTCACTTTTCTCTTCTTCCCCTACTTTTTTTTCATAATTAAAAAGGCAAAGGCTTAGTGGCCAGTATGCCATGTCTTTGGCAGAATGTCCTCAGTTTTTTTTTTGTGTCCGGAAGAAATCCTCTGATGATACCTTGCCTCCGGGGGAAAAGAGAGGGTTATGTAGGATTTGACTCACTAAAACCCCCCCAAATTGAAGTGAAAAAGAAGATACTTCCGGGATCGTCAAAGAGAGCACCGGAACAGTATCCACAGCTTGCTACACGAATGTTCCAACTGAAGAGCGTCACCCTATAGCTGTTCTCTTCTAACGCATAGATTTGACTATAATGCTATCTCTTTCTATGCCTATGCCTCTGCGCTTCCGCATTTTTCTTTCGCATGTATCTTGTAGACGACGAATGTAAAAGCGTAACTACATTTTTTTCATACATTCATGGATATTTTATGAACTGATTTGACTAAAAATTGAGTTGATAACATATACGCATTTACGGAAATAAATAATAAAAAATAATACGTAATAAGTAATCGATAAATAATATTTTTTTCATAGAATCATTAACCTAATTAATATATAAGAAATGAATCATTATTCCACAAACAATTCGTGCGATCCGATTGTGAGATAAATACGCGCTAGTTTTATAAGATAAACTCATAAACTCACACTTATTGTTTGTAATACTAATAATTATTATGTTCAATGTATGTATGTATGTATAAAAATAGTTAAATTAATTTCAGTTGGGTTTAAAAATTGTAAATAAATAGCTGTCGCCCAGAATTAAAAAAAAACTTTGTAGAACATCTATGCCAAATTTTATCAAGATCCATTCAGCCATTCTGGAGATATCTTCAAACATACATCCAACCAAATGTTCAAAAATTATATATTATACTAGCAGTCGACCGCGACTCCGTGCGTGCGGGTTTAAAAATATATGTTGTCCGATTCTCAGAGCTACTCAATATGCTCACAAAATTTCATGAGAATCTGTCAAGCCGTTTCCGAGGAGTATGGGAACGTAAATTGTGACACGATAATTTTATATATACGATTAGTAAGATTTCATGAATCAATTTAAGTTAGTAATTATTATATAATAACTGTCGTAAATCTATTATATAATAATACAATTAAATATAACAAAAAATTGAGTTATACAATTTATAGCTTTCGATAACTTCATTATTTACAATATTTGTAATCATTTAAAAACAAGTCTGAACGAATTCATTGTTCGCTTATAATGATTAATATCATCAAAATGTCTGTCAATAATGACAGTCCGACCTTAATTAGCCTGTTATTAAACAGGTAAATAAGTAAAGCCGCGATATACAACTAGTGCCGGCTTATCTGAGATAGAGCGAAGCATTTAAACGTTTTATCATGTATTGACGCATTTAGTTTATCGATTGCTAAACATTCGGACAGACCGCGAGTTTGTGTTTGTGAATATAAGAAAATGGAAGTACAGACTACGATTAATTTGGAGTTAAAGGAACGGCCGCATGGTTAGTAATATATTTATTTCATGTTGCAGTTATGTTGTAAAATATGGCATTCTAGAATATGGTTAGTTGTACAAAATGAATTATCTCTTAAGCATTTAATTTTTATTTTATATTTAGCTAGAATTTTATTAAAATATGATGTGATCGTAGTTTTTTTGTTAAAAAAAATAAATGCCACGATTCGGAAACTTCCTTTTCCTTTCCCTTAATATCCAAAGATTTAAAATCTGCACATTTATGTAATAAAACGGAGCGTTTTGTCATAATAATATATATATAATCAGATTGTATAATATGTACGATTAATTACAATTAATTTCAAATACTTGAATATTAAAACTTAAATATTAAGTTCATGTTTTTGAACAAATCAAAAAAACTTAATGCTATTTTTCATCCACGCTCTTTACTCTTTCCTCCGTGGTTCATGCAAACAAGGGAACTTTATAGCATCATACTATAAATACGATATTAAAAAGACTTTCTTCAATTTCAAATTATTGATGTTTGTGTCACATTATGACGCATGCGCTGCATATGTGATTCACTTCTGTGATGTCATAATTACGACTTATTTTTTTTAATAATATAATAATTTAACTTTTTAACTTCCGCAATATAAACAATCAAAGATAAAAACAACATAACTCACACCCGTAACCCGAATGGGTAGACAGAGACGGATTTCCATTTATACATCTACGCTTACATGTACGTCGGATTCTGGTGCTCTTAATAAGTACCTATGGGAAGGCCCCGACCGGATCAAATATGAGTTCATAAACCCGCGTCTTATCGCCGTAGCTGTTATATCGAAAAGAATAGATTGAAATTATTCAAAAATCAATATTTATAAAATATTTATTTTTAATTTGAAATTACAAAATAATTAAATTGACTCGCACCAAGATCTAACCAGTGTTTTATTGTGATTATTCAACTCCAGTGAGAAGAAGACTCTTTGAGACTGCTTTACAGTCGTGATTTTAAAGCTACGTCTACGGAGATTGACTATAAAATCAATTATTGCAAAAAGAATTCCATTTAATCCCATATTTTATATAAGAAGCGTCAATAGCCTAATGGTTAAGGGTACGGATATCCGATCACGAGGTCGCGGATTCGAATCCCGCCATTCCACTATTCTCGCAAACCATATCCTAGCACAAGCCTAGAGCTTAGTTGGAATGGTAAAAGAAATGTTAGTAAATTTACAAAAAAAATCTGCTAATATTTTACACAAAAAAAAAAACAATTAAATGTGGCAATATATTTTAAAAACTAATAAGTTTAGAGATAATAACCGCTTGCCATATTTACCTAATAATCATTAAAATTAAATAAACAAAATAAAATTTAAACTATCGTAATGTTTTCGTCAGCCATGTTCCGCCCACAAGCGCACACATCACAACTTGCCGTATTACTTTTTTATCTATAGCAAACAATGCTCATAAGGCTGTAGACATACCGGGCGCAGTATTTTAATTTGCTTCGAATTTTTGAAGATTTTTCTTAATATCAAGATAAAATTAATTAAGCGAATTTTGGATTTATATATTTAACAAGTAAATATTTGTATACTATTTATTTATTTTTAATGATGTATTAATAAGTAAATTTTTAACGTTTTTTTCACCACGTCAACGCAAAGTTTCTCAATTATTATTTTTTTTAATCTAATTTTTGCCCAAATTATAATGACAAACTTTGAGAATTAAATTTATTATTAAAAAATAAACATGATGTTTATTTTAATATGTTTAATATGTGTTAGTTGTGAGTGTTGTGTGTACCCAGCCTTAGATAGTCAGCATTAGGGGACAAGATTTTTCTCGTTACGACGTTTCATTACAATATTTTGACAGGCGCCTAATTTACCTTTTTTAAGAAATATTCAGATTCCTTAAAAAAAATGTTTATTTTTTTTCCTAAAATGTTAAAGTGAATCGTGTATATTGGTATTTTGTTTTTATAATGTGGAGTTTTAAAAATTAGTTAATATTTTGTGGTTTGTAAAATTTATTTTGTGATGCGTCCAAAGAAATCTGTTTCATCCAAATGGGCAATTATCAACGAGGGTTTTGAATTTGATCGTAAGACGTGTTAAGATTTCTATTGTTTTTGAACAAATTTATTTATGTGACTCTACGTGTTCTACATCTGTGCCAAATTTCTTCAAGATCCATGCAGACGTTCCGGAGATATCCTGTAATAAACATCCATCCATCCAAACTTTCGCACCTATAATATTAGTAAGATAAAACCGTTACTATGTTTACGAATTTTCTCTTAAGTTTTCTTACATAGATTTAATATATCAATTAATACTTTCATTTTAATTAAAAGAATTCATAACATATTTTCGTCATACAAATGATATCTCGGTCTTATCAGATAACAAAAGAAAATTCGCTTGCGTACTTTTTTAGCAAAGAGGTCAGATGTTATCTTTATTTGTTTAATTACTGTTATATTTAATTCTTTGTTCTCTTTGTCAACTCTTATCAATAGAATTTGTAAAATTAGCACTTTGCTACGAATTATGTTACTTGTTATTATGAAGAAATGAGACGTTAAGAGAAATTTACAAGTCACAAAAATGTGTTACTTTAAATTTCCCAAGCGCATTTTCATAATGCACAAATGAATGTAATCATGCTTTTCAACAAAGAATATTTTACTGTCACTTGTGCAGATTGCAGGACAATCTTTCCAAATAGTTACGACTTATTCTTAAAAGTAAAGAGCGTACTTAAAGGCAAGCAAATCATCAATAATTTCTTTCGTGTTTCAAAAGCCATGGGACAACTAAAATTAGGCGATTCACTACCGTACTACGTTTGTCTTCTAAGTAAAATAAAACTTATGTAAACGCTTTCCTAGTATCTTTGGTTGTAATAGCAATTTCTGTTCAGCTGAAGACGATGCTTCGGCGTGCGACTCTGACGCGGCGGCGGAGGCGGCGGCCGCGTTCGCGCGCGCCTGCGCACCGGACACGCAGCGTCTGCTCGCCCCGCACTCCCCGCACACACCGCACACGCCCCGCCGCATACACGACCACGATGAGTGAGTACCCACATTGTACTATATGTTTTTAATTAATGTATGAGGCAAATATGACTTCGTTACGTCATCTCTAAGTGTATACGTTTTAAACTGTCAGCTTTATATCTCTTTTATATTAAAAGTGTAAGCAATTTGTTGTCTTACAGCAAAAAGTATCGCTAAACATCTGCTGATGATACCCTAGTTTATTAACTTAAATATTCTATTTTCTTATTCATGAAAAATAAAAATTGAAAAATCAATAATTTTGAACTTTAAATATTTCATAGCTAAAATTTCCGTGGTTCTTGGTAGTGTCGTAAATAGTGCAAATATTTGTGCAAGAAACGAAACGTCGTCAGCGAACGTTCCCGCGCATGTGACGTGACGCAAACAAAGCGCGGGAAAACTAACAAACATGGCGCCGCCGTAATGCGTTTTGTGCAATCATCTCAAACTTTATGCGCTCTTTCAAAGAAACTAGGTCATTAAATCTGAAGCTATTAGTGAATTTACTAATGAAAAATACAAAATAAGCTTTAATTCTAGTTAGCATGGAGGTCACGTTTTGTTGAGGAAAAAGGTCGATATATTTGAACTGTTGAAATTTGAAATGCTCATTTCGAAGACTTTTATTTCGTCCTAAAGTTATTTAAAATTCTCCAGAACATTTACTATGTAATCATTAACTTATGCAATATGTTTACTAATTAATAGATCAATATTGTCCTATCCCCTAGTTACAAGCGAGATGACAAATATTTGTCACATGTAACATGTTCCATCACTTTTGCTATCAGTCGTGTCATTTTGTCTGATGTTACATAGACCATACAAAAGAGATGCAGACGACTAACAGTGCGGGGTGCAAAATCGTTATTTAAGAGTTTTTTTTACAACACATCTTTAGTAAAGAGCGTCTGTGGCTCAAGGGTTAAGCTCTTATAATCTGCGCGTCGTGGGTTCCAATCATCCGGGAACGGAAAACATCGTGATGCATCCTGCACATATCTAGTCACCTCTAACTTAGCGTAGGCTCCGAGCCCCTCAGTGGGACTTATAGTGAGCTGATGATGAAATCTTACAAACGTCAATACTTTATTTCTGTCTGTACGAGTATTTGTAAGTTATAGTACCAATTATAAATCCATTAACTAGTCTAAGATAAGAAGACAACATATTAATTAAAGGGGTAAAGTTTAACCTCGAGTTTTTAATTTAAGCTTTTAAATAGATATCTCATCTAGACCAACTACAATATGCATACTCTTAAATCGTCGATGTTTTTTTAAATGATTTATGATGTAAATGTGGCAATGCAACTTCAATATTTATTCTTAGCAAGATGCGATTCTATTTGCCTATTTATAGTGTGGTATGCATCTTCAGAAAATAAATTTGATTCTACCGTAAGCTATGCAAAGGCTAAACGCTTATAGTGAAGTTTGGTCAAAAAGTGTCAAGGTCGAGGTATTCTAGGATTGTATAAAGTAACTCAGGCAAATCTATTTGTGCTCTACTACGAAACATATATAACATGAATAAGCTTCCTCTTTTAGCAATAAAATTATCAGTCCCAAAATATAACACACACTTTTAATTTTTTTTCAAACATTTCTTCGAAGTGAATACGAGCTTAAGTCCCGCCTAATCTATCTCGAATTAAATTAATGTAAAGATAAAAATAGAAGTTAGTTATAGTAATATGATTTTGACCTTCTGTGAGCGTGAGCGTGAGTGCGTTTAGTGCCGCGACCTACACGCGATAGGTTTCTCTAGTCTGTCACACAGATGACAGTCTGACACTGAATAATAATGACACAGGTTAATTGTTCGAACGGAAATTGATGTTAAGGCTTGTAGATGTAGACGTCTTTTACAATACGACCGTTAAATTAAAAATGTAACATGAAATGCTTATTGATTTAGTTAATTTTACATCCATTTTTTATTCTACAAACTTCTGATAAACTAACCAATAATGTACCAATTGAACAAAATATAAAGATTGTTACGTTCCTCAAACGAAACTGGTAGAAAATGAACGATGACATTTTTTTATCTGTGTCACATTTCTTTTGTTTTACGTTGACATGTGTCCTTTATTTTTACAATGTTGTAAGGAGGTTAAGGACATGCGATTTTATGTGCATAATGTCTCTCACGTAGAAAGCGGTATAGTACGACAAATATATGTGACCCGGTGAGACAGGTGTTGTTACCTACTTAGACAAAATATGACACATAAGTCAAGATATCACATGACAACTTTAACAGTGGTAGAGCCCGCTTTAACATCATCGCACGAATCGGCCCGGCTCGCCCGGTGAAATACCACGACCATACAGAAGACACGCCTCAATTGGAAGCAATTCCGTATTTCGTCTGATGAGTGTGCGGCCCGGAGGCCTGATTTAGTCCTCTTTCCCTCCCCACTATTTTCTTATAAGGAAACGATGGGTAGTGTAAGTGGACTTTCCGGATGAGAAGATGCATGGAAATATTTTATTTCTGTGCATCCACTCCTCCGTCGATTGAAGGTAGGCAATCCATATGCAATTGCGTAGGTCTATGGACAACGGTCACTTCGCTATTTCAGCGAATTCAGGTTGTCACTGCCTCGTTTACCACATTGTGATAAAAAAAAAACCTGACAAGGAATTGCAGTGCTTTTTATATTCGGGGTGCGCTTTTATGCCTGACAAGTTTAAGCATTTTAGTAGAAACCTTACAGAAATATATTCTAGTCATTGTATTGTATTCTCGTCACTTTTGTATTTCGTTTGACACTAGAATAGTCATTCAAAGTAAATACAAAAGATGATTCAAACAGTGTGACAGTGTAAAAGCATCAAGCGACATAAATCGGTCAACTGTCCTATAAAGAACGGCAAAGCATGTGTTCTGATACATTTTAAAATAGATTTCTTTTGTTTTAATTACGTCGAAGTGACTTTGGTTTGTCTTTTTTTTTAATAATTAATGTAAAATCAAACCAGAACAAAAAAATATTTCTCCTAAGTTTACTAGTATGCATTAGTTTAACGAACACTTAAAAAGGAAAATACGTATCAATGTCATTAAAAATTAGTCATAATTCATATTGATTTACAGCAGTGCGTATTGTTTCTCTTAAGAACGTATACAGATTTATTTCTTATCGAATAAAAGTTTACTGGCCTTTGTTATACGATTGATTTGGCGTTATCTAGACGCGTTGCCTGTCGCAAACAATTTGCGACCCCACTGTGACACCTGCTGCCCTCAACTTGAAGGTCGAAGCGGCAATATTCTTGTCTGCAAAGTCTTTGATGTCCATAGTTTACTTACTTAGAAGGACTGTCCACATCTATGCATATTTACAACTGAACGTAAACACTCAAATTAGCAATAATATATGTCTCAAAATCAAGTTTATATCTATATTTTTGTATTGATCTTTAATTGACTGACGAGAAAAAAATCCCAAGTAATGATTTTGTTCTACTTAAAGTCAGATTTATAAATGTAAAATAAAATATGGTAACAGTAATCCAATATGCAGCTTTAAATCCGTGTCCCAGTTTAAACGGATAACAAATGGTTAACCTACTAGTAACGATCCGTGACGTCGGTGTTGTCAGGACTACAGAGCGACGCGACTGTTCATATTTCAGTCGGCCGATTAGTTGCCGGATCTGTCTGTAGATCGCATTTGTTATGAATACAAAGAGCTGCGACCGTCGACATCTTGGTCTGTCGATTTATTTCTAGATCCTTCAGTAGATTCTGCCCAAGTCTGAGGGCGCGGCAGATGACCGATGGACATTTTTTCTCTTTTTCTTTTATAGTGTTTAGATGTTGCCTGTGTTACTTATTTCAAAGTGCAAAGTTAGTGTCTTACATATTTCACAACGGACAAAAAATTGCCAGTTACAAAAAATATTAACTAACGAATGCTTTTTGAAAATATTCCATTATAAATATTCAAGAACTTGTGCTATGATAGAAATAATTAATTATTTATGAATTTATCAATTACATTATTATACTTTTTTAATACCTAAACAGCTGATTTAACTGAAAACGATCGAAATGTGAGTCATTTGCCCTATTTCGGGTAATTTACCCCAGAGGCAGCGCGCATCTCACTAGCGCCGCCTCAGTTTGGTCGCGGACGTCGTGTGAGTCGCACGTGCATTGTGTTCGCATTATATGTCTACACCGAAATCTGTGAAGTGCATATACGTGTTTTTATCGATATTTAACGTCTGCTCTGTAAAAAATACATAACTGCGCACATAAATTGAACTGCCGTTGTGTCTGGTTTGTTTTTTAAGAACAAAAGCGAGTGGGAATCGATCTTTGCGAATAAAATAAGGTTTGTTTTGATTAATTGCAAACATGATTTGATTATAATTAGTTGATAGTGGTTGTTGAGTATCTAGTTATATAAACATACAGTCGCGATGTAGTTTTTCTAGTACTCAATCTGCTCTTTAATTTCATGTCGTCAAGAGGTTTACGATTGTCATAAAAATTTTAGTTCTATCTTTTGATTTAAAGCAAATATTTTGTATGCAATTATGTCTTGTTTTTTTGAGGAAATTAAACGTTAGTCATGTTAAATATACACAATGTATCGTAAGCGATATCAATAATATATATGTAATTAAATAAATATATTTATGTAAATAAAGTTATCATAGTATGTATACATTTCCTGCGTGAGCTTCAAATGAACATGAAATTATACAAACACTCATAAAAATGTATTTATACAGGATGTTTAAACAGCCCAGGCAGCATAGGTTACGGTTAACCCTTATTGTGGAAAGATTTCTTTTTCGAAGAAAGGGTAAAAAACTAAGTTAAAAATTATTTTATCGTGATCGTATATTTTTATAAACTTGTATATATGAACATAAGGGTTAAGCTAAGTTACTAAGTAAACGCGATGCTCATTTGTTTATGCTTAACATTATCTCCTTATGTTACATTTTGACATTGTTTTCTAATGTACATAATATTGCTTTTTTATC